AAAACATTTCCATAAACTTCTTTGATATTCTTTGTGCCTACAGAGGTGTTGTTTCCCATCTTGTATTGAAACAGCATTACATGGCGAATGTGTGTCTGGTCGTGTGCCGTCACTATAAAGGATTAGAGTATACTCAACTTTACACATTATATAGGCTACACTAACGTGACATTTAGGTTGTTCGTCTAACTATTATACATAATGTATGCTTTTTGGGGGTGGTTAATGAAAGTATTCCAAAATGCAACATTAAATTCTTAATGACCTAATACTTGGTCCTACAATTGTCATATTCACTTTACAACATGTTATGTCCTTTGGGTTTGTACCTGGTGGAAGATCTCTTTTCTTGCCTTGACAGGATCCATCCCATGGAGTGGTCCTTGCATCCTTCAGTCTTCCATTGGATTTGTTTCCATTGCAGAATCCTTCAGATTAAAGCTTTTACGAATGTCACTTTAAAGGTCTCTACCTGGTAGACCTCAGATGTCCATTTTTAATGACAGGGTGTTGTACCTTTGTCTTCATAAGAAGATTTGTCTGGTCCCTCTGCCAGTCTCTTCAACCAGGTCATCCTACTCATTCGCATCTGACTTCCTTCTTTATCTGGCCTTTTATCTAGGGCCTTTATGTTTCTTTCAACACAGATTACCATTGGGCATTTTCAACAATCTTCCACCTCTTGCCAGAAAATAATCCATTCCTTTGCCTTTCCAACCCCATTGTCTGATCCCTTTTCCCTACTGGGACCCTTGTGTGGTTTTTCAGACTCTTACTTGCCTGCATTTGAGCAACTAGCTTTTTGTTTCTTGTATCAACTTTTCTTTTAAGTCATATTTTTCTCCTTCTTTTTTGCTTGTGGTTGTCATCATTTAGACATTTGCACCTCAGACACCTCTCTACTTTCTGTCATAGGGACCAGTTGATGTTGTTTCCAACCCACTCATTTCTTCCAAAGAGTGGGGCTGTCTGGGAGGGTGATCAAATGTTTTCTATAGTCTCTCCTCCCTCTATTTCATCATGTTATGATCATTCCAACACCAATCTTCTTTTGTGTCCTGAGTGGGCTATCTGTTGCTGTCTTGCTCATGTTTTCCCTTTTTGTGGAAATGGTTTTCACCTATTTTTACCATGGGAGATCTCCTTCTCACAGGACTTATCCCTTTCCACTTTAACTGATTAAGTTCACCAGCATACTTGTCTCAACTCGCATATTATTCTTTGGGTGAGTCTTACCATATACTTTTTTTGCATCTCCTCTTACCAGTTTCAGCATGTCACAGCCTCTCTTGCCTCTTTCATCCAGTGGGACTGTGGTAAATCTTTTGATTAACAATGCTAAGATCAGGGGTTTGATTCCCCTCAGTTGACACAGCTCCATGTGGCTTTGCTATAGGAAAACACACACAGTCTTGCTTATTTTTGTCACTGATCTTTGGAGGTCTTACATACTGGTATGTGGACTACATGTAGTACATTCATCTCCCATTACTTACACCACTGGATGGTTTCCTGTGCCTCTGGTTTTCAGCTCCCTCCAGTTTACCCAGAGACTGTTGTGGTGAGTTTTGCCTGCTGTGTGTGTGTGTACCATGATTTTTTGTACACATTGTAAGTTCCTCAACAAACAAACAAAATAAATACCAACTGGAGGAGGCAAGTTTCACCAGATCAAATGTTACATTGATAGTTTTCTGTTTATTGCATAATTGAATCATGTGGTTATTATTTTGTATTGATAGTGTTTTGTTTATTGCATTTGATTGAATCATGTGGTTTTTTAAGTGATAATAATTATGTTTTATATATTACAGGTAATGCAGTTTGGACGAATAGATGGGAATGCATATACGTTAGATTTTCAATATCCATTTTGTGCTTTGCAAGCTTTTGCTGTTGCTCTTGCAAATGTGACTCAACGCTTGAAGTGACAAATACTCCATGGAATAAATCCTCTTCGTAAATGTATACTTAACAGTACAAGAGTTTGAAAGTGAAAAACTGAACTATGGAATTGGTAAAAAAAAAACTTCATAGTGTTCTTCTTGGAAAAAAGCTTTACGTGGTTTATTTATGATGTGGCATTAGAATAACACATTTGTTCTTCATGAATAAGTTGAGTCAGAAGACTGACAAAGAACTGCAGCTTTAAAAATATGATTCTAAGTCAGCTTATATCTGATATACTTTTATGTTTTTTCTTGTTTTTGAATTTAATATTTGTCCATGACATGACAAGATGATGATAAAATTATGTTATTATCTTATAGCATTACTGTAATAGAACCAAAAAATTAAGTATATATATATATATGCTCTCTTAATACAATATTTAGTCATTGAAGAGTAAACATATCCATGAGTGTTTGATATAAAAGAGCTTTAAATATATTTGCTGACTTAAAGAATTATTTTGGCCTTGTTTCCATTTAAGAGAGAAACTAACAATTTAATTGAAATTGTGTAAATTTAAACCAGATAAACTGGTAGACATGCATAGCTCTCTTTTTGTTTTTTCATCTCAGAGATTACAGTGATTTATTTTATTCCTGTAGTTCTTTGTTATTTTATTACATTTCTATATTAAATTAACATATTTATTGCATTAACAACAGTTTCATGCAACATTTTAAGTTGCTTAACAGGACTATAATATGAAATTAGTGACCCTGTTTTGTTTTAATCATAATTTGCTGCTGTATAAAACATTTAGAGAACACATTTTTATGAATTAGTATAAAATTTGTAATGTAGTTGCTTTGAAGGACTTGTAAGGTTTGTCTTTCACACTAAGTTATAAATTTGTTACTGATAAAATACTTCTATACCTGCAGTTGGTTGCTGCAAGTTAAACATTACTGTTAAGTTTTCTCTTTCAACTTTGTAAGATAAGTATATACACAGGACAAGGAAAATTTCAAAGTTTAAGAACTGCAAATTGGAGGTTGGTAAGCATATTAAATTGTCCTTTGGTTGGTTAATAGTACACTAGCTTGTTTCCATTCACTGAAATAACTTAGGGTCTTAATTCATTAATCAGAAGAGACTTTTTTGTATGCCAACTTTTCTTATCACTCCCCATAGCAAGGGTGAAATTCTGCCAATACTCAACAAAACTTTCTACCAGTTCAACTTGAATAGTACCTCAGAGTTTACAAGAGCCCTTAAAATCCTGGAAAGTCATATAAAATGAGCTCTAAAAATTTCAAGATTAGAACTCTTGGAAAAACAGATATTTTTAAGTCATGTTCTTGGAAAGATCATGAAATTTCAGTTAAAAATAAAGTATGAATTGTTGACATAATAAGAAGAAGAAATTAAAAACAAAAACAAGTTTGGTTATCAAAATCAGATTTCATTATGTTTTATGCCAGCCATTGAAAACTTCAAGACTCATAACTGCTGATGAATAAAATTCCTGGAAAATGCAATTGCCAGGATACGAGAATCCTAGAAATTTGAGTATAAAAAGTGCTTGGATTCTGGTGTCTGAAGAGGTACTTTTAACTTTGAGAAATCTTGACACTTCATACACTGTGAAGCCAGGTCTTGGCAAAATTATCTGTACTTCATTAACCCTTTCAAGCCTTGTGACATCATTTCAACCACTCCTATTTGTGCATTCATAAAAATTAATAACTCTGAAATCAAACAATATCTGAAAAAAAAAAAAAGAGATATTTCAAACATAAAATATAATATCCACTGAACCTCAACAAGATATTTATATTAAAATGAAATCCACCCTGTGTTATAACTGTATACTATGCCATTATGCAACATGCTTATAATTATTGACCTGAAAGCCAAGTTTCACACATGCTTATTAAGGAAATACATTCACAGGCTTAATGGTATCATATGCTAGCATGCTTTGTTGAATAAAAATTTGCAATATAATGTCTTTTATATCATTAACACTAACATAAATAGACAGTACTTATTTCACTCTATCCTATAGATAACTTCTCTTTAATCCTTTTAAAAATTATTTGCAGTTGTTTCAAAAGACCCTGCTGATCTGTAAGGTCATGCTTGGGTAAAGATATCATTAGTTTCAGATAGCAAGAGGAAGTTCTTGTAAAGCATAAGGAACTGCCAAAGTAATTACTTAGAGAAGAGCAAATGAACAAGGGAACCAATAAATTAACTTATTATCTTTGCACAGCATAAAAAAAACAAAAACTGGTAGATGATACGAAGACATGTGGTTATGAAATGCTTCTGGCTAGTAACTGAAAGTTTAGAAATTTACATATTATTTAAGGAAGAAAGAGAGCTGTACAGCAAATAGATCGTTAGGAAAATAATCCAAAATATGAGATGATATATATATTTTAGCTTTAAAGTTGTAAAACAAAAAATGCAGTGAATTATAGTTTTTGATACCACCAATTCCAAATTTTAAAAATTTATTATTTCTAAATTATTTTGGCTAGAGAAAAGCAATGAGTATATACAAAGACACTGCTTTGTCTCAGATGTGGACATGTTACCCCCCTCAGTAGCACAGCAGTATGTCTGTGGACTTACAACGCTAGAAACTGGGTTTCGATATCCATAGTTGGCAGAGCACAGATAGCACATTATGCAGCTTTGTGTTTAACTTCAAATGTGAAGATGGGAAGTTTAAATGTTTCTATTCCCCAAGTAAAAACTTACATTTGAGGGGTGGGTGGGATCTGAGTTAAGGTCAGCAGTTTGGATTTTCTTTATAGTGCTTGATCCAAAGCAAATGCTAATATAGTAGAAAGCAAAATTAAATTTTGAATTGGAAACATTTAAGTTATAAGTTTCGTTTTTGTCCCTGATGTCAGGGGAAATTTTTTTTTTT